TCTAATGTTGAGGTTACGTCCCGTCTGGAGTATGTATATATTGCGTATAAGTCAACGGCGGCTCTTGTCTGACCTGGTCTTTCTTTTCAAAATTATTAACGGTATGCTGGATGTCCCCGAGCTGAATTTTAATGTTCCCGGAATAATATCACTTTTCGTTTGCGCACATCTAATACGAATACTTATTCTAATTCGCCAATCATACGATTTCTTAATACTTACAACCAGAGCTTCAACAATGTTTCTCTATTTGGGCTGTCATTGCGTTCGTTTAAAGATTTCGTGTTGCGCGAAATTGTTTAGTTGCGAACCACTTTAATTCTGTATTAACTTCGTAAAAACATTGTAACAACTTTTCTTTATATTTAAATTTCTTGCTTGTGTTTCTAAGCGTATTGTCTCTTTATGAAGTATAATGTTAATTCGATATTTTGTGAGGATGCTTCACTGGGGATGTTCTCCCTGTTTGCGTCCCAAATGGTAATAAAAAAAACGTATGGCGAACATTGCGTGAGCAACAGTTGTATACATATCACGTTACACATGTGCAAGATTGATTACCAGAAGACTATAACAAGCGCAGATATTTCTGCCAGTGGTTAATTCGATTATGTACACGAAACCCTAACTTTTTGAGTTACTTACGAATCTTGTTTTTTTCAGAAACCGCATTATTGATTTTCGAAACACCCATACGACTGCTTCTACTCATTACCAACATACTTTTTCCTAAAATATTTGGTGTGACAATCTCATCGGCTCTTTCTTTTTACCACCCAGACTTTCCGGAATAGAACTTTTTGCAAAATAACTTGTATGAGCTCCTACAAGACATTCCGATTAGAAATGAGTATCAGAAATCGCATTGTGGAAGCCGCAGTAATTATCAATGGCCGTCCTGATGCTATAAGACTTGCCAGAGAAGCGTGGATTCATCGTGCTCAATGTTGCATTCAACAAAACTGGAACCATTTTGAACATTTACTTTAACCGCTTAAATGAAAAATTAAAATTTTTCATTTTCAATATCTCGGTAATAAATTAATTTGAGACATACATTTATATGAACACTTTTGTTTATTTTGTGCTGAAAAATACATCCCTAAAATAGTGCCGTGCAATTCTGAAACATCCCCTGTATATAAAACTAACGAGAGTTGATTGAATTTACAATTGGAAGACCTTATCTGGTTCTAAGGCAAACTGGAGAAACGTAAATCTAATTTAGAAACTCTGTACATAAAAACTGATGTAAATCGGCTTTACGTTACGTCCTGCAGTGGACGGCCTCTGTATTTTCATGAAATATATAAGTTTGTTTATACAAGGTGTTTCATAATATATGCGTAGGACTTCTGGATGTGATAGCTTGTCCAAAGATTTGAAAAAATTTTGAAAAAACCTCGTACAATCAAGTAACCCTCAAGTAAAAGAAGCTGTTCTCAACGAAATTGATGAAAATCCGACCACAAGTACCAGAAAAATTGCTCACAACTTAAACCTATCTCACTCGACGGTTTGGAGAATTTTGAAAAGGCAACTTTTGTATCCCTACCATATCCAAAGAGTTATTGCCAAGAGATTTTCCGCTAAGATTGGCTTTTTGTACAGGGTGGTTCAAATTCGATGTCCGAATAGGCTATCTTGGAAACTATAAGAATTAGAAAAAATGTGAATGAAACTGCTAATGCCAAAAACCTCAAACCGCTATCGTCTTTTGTTTTTCTCCTAGAGGCTAAAATTGAAAATACCGCAAAACCAGCAAGTGCAATTATCTTGGTTATTATTATAAGTGGTGTATTATAAATAAGACATTATTTTACAGACAATTTGATGACGTAGTCAAAAAAAATTTTTCGCTTTTAGATTTCTAGATATTACAATTTTCGTTTTTTTAAATGGAAACAACCACTGATTACTCGCTTATTAAATTCGTTATTTTTTTCTGATTACAAAAATATGGGGTTATACAGGATGTCCCGCAACGATTGTACAAAACTGCATAAGCGTATTCTATGATCAAAAATAAACAAAAAAAGCCTAATAAACATAGGTCCGAAAATGGACCATTTTCGAGATATTCAAAGATTTAGTTTCATAAGTTGATATTGTTAACATCATGAATTTAAATTTGTTTTTATAATAATTAAGTCGTTACTATGATTACGATAAGTTGTCTAATCAAAAAAAAATAATAATACTTCACGAAATTATTATTTTACTATTTAATTTAATAAAACTATTAAGTATGGCTCCTATTAATTACTCCAAGGAAGAGATGGCGGATATGGTGTATTGTTACGGACTAGCTGATGGAAATGCGTCGTTAGCAGCTCGTCATTACGCGCAAAGGTTCCCGAACAGACGATTGCCTAATAGTCACACCTTTAGCAGACTATTTCTCAGATTAAAAGAAACGGGAAGCGTAACCCACAGCCATTCCACGGAGAGACATTACACAAGGCCGGTGGAATTAGAAGAAGCAGTTTTGAGAAGAGTCGATGAAAATGCCTCAACCAGCATTAGAAGAATTTCTGCACAAGAAAACATTAACAAAACAACCGTTCACCGCATTTTAAGGGAGCAGTTGCTTTATCCTTATCATTACAACACCGTTCAAGCTCTAACAGAAAATGATGGCGAAAAAAGAGAGATTTTTTGTAGGTGGGCCATACAGGAAGAGGTAGTAAACGTCGACTTTCCCATAAACATTGTATTTACGGATGAAGCAACATTTACTCAAAGCGGAATTTTTAATATTCATAATGCGCACGTTTGGAGCGATGAAAATCCCCATGCAATACTAGAAACTCATCATCAGTGGCGATTCAGTGTTAATGTATGGGCTGGAGTTATAGGTGATCAGTTATTAGGTCCATTTTTTCTTCCAAAGAGATTGACAGCCGATGCCTACATACATTTTTTACAAAATGACCTTACAGAGGCATTTGATGAATTACCTCAACAAATTCTAGAAGATTGCTACTTTATGCACGATTATGCACGCGCTACTCGAGCATACTTAAATAACAGATTTGGCAATAAGTGGATTGGCCGAGGAGGGCCACCTCGTTCACCAGATTTAAATCCGTTAGATTTTTGGTTTTGGGGACATTTAAAACAAATTGTTTATTCTGAAGACGTTCAAAATGTGCAGGATTTGAAGAATAAAATTAGTAACGCATTTGACACAGTAAAACAAATTCCTGGTATCTTTGAACGCATTAGAAGTTCATTTAGAAAACGTATCCGTTTGTGTTTAGAAGTAAATGGTGCGCATATTGAACATTTATTATGACATGAATCTTTTCCAATTTGTTAAATATTCGTTGTTTTTATGCTGGTTGAACGATTTTCTTCGACAATCTTTGTTACTTGTTTTGTTAAATTATTAATGAACTGTATTAATTAACTTAATATTATCTTATTATTTATTAAACTTTATCTTAACCATCGTAACCATGGTAATCATATAATTACTGCATCTAAATCGTTACAATTAATGATGTTTACAATAGGTCAGCTTATGAAACTAAAAGTTTGAATATCTCGAAATTGGTCCATTTTCGGACCTATGTTTATTAGACTTTTCTTGTCTGTTTTCGATCAGAGAATACGCTGATGCAGTATTGTACAATCGTTGCGGGACACCCTGTATAGGTCTATTTCTTATTGTTTTAGAATAAAGCTAAAAATAAACTTTTTTTTTAGTGTCGTCAAAGAAATTCAATTTAGTTTCCTGTAAATTACGATACTATAACTAAAAATTTACTTTATTTTCTAATATGTAACATTCTAACATGTTAAACTTTTCGTAATTTTCGTAATCCGAAGTTAACGGCGGACATTTCCAATATTTAATTTAACTGTATATGATTTGTAATTGTTTTTTATTATGCAATTATGAAGTTACTTATTCTAACGTTTTAATAACATAAAATTTTTCAAATTTTTGAACAAGCTATCACATTCTGAAGTCTTGCGCATATATTATGAAACATCCTGTATATAGTTTCCGTTTTTTTCTGGTCCCAATCAATCTCTTCTCCCAGTTACCTTACAATGTCGTGATAATGAGCCATTTCCGGTATTCTTGCCTGTTATTGGCTAAGTTCTTTATTTGTTTTTTTCTCTCTTTCTGAATGCTCCCTCTACGTTGTTTGTCAGCAGGTTAGATCCATCTACTTCTGACTTCCTTATTTTGTATTCTAAAGCCAAATTAAACAGGGTCGGTACCAGCCCATCTCCGTGTATATGGAATAAGTAAGCTTTAATATCTTTTCCGGTATTACAAATTGGTGTATAATATAGTACAATTCTTCTCGGCTAAATATACATTAATATAGTGCTTCCAGGCTTTATTTAAAGCTGTCTGGTATTTCCCAATTATGTTTTCCGGATATTGGAAAGATGACACTTTTCGCCCACTCCCTGGGAATTCTTTTTCAGTCCAGCTCTCAGTTTCTTACAGCTTCGATTGCGGCTCTTTCTTCTGAAACTGTTTTACTATATACAATACATTGTGTTAATTAATTATCGTACCCGACGTCATTATTGCAAGTATGCAACCAATATCACACTGAATATATCTGTATATGCAAATCGCGTGTTGTAATACTATTACTGTGATATTGGTTGCATACTTGCAATGTATATATGCTAGTTATGACAGTTATAAATATAACATTTATCTTTAATTGTTTGAATATGTACAATACTACTATTTGATATTTATCAATCTAAATATATACGTGCGGATTTGGAATTTGCGGAAAATCGAATTAAAATCGGGTCAATTTTATTTATATAAGAATAAGAAATATAGCCTTATTTATTATTAATCCCTTACCTTATCCCCCATTTTAACGAAAACATACAGACTTGATACAAAAACAAATACAATTGTTTATAGAAATTCTTTGAATACTTTCTTTATATAAAAACGGCCGGGTCTATTTTTTTGTTGGCATTATATGTAGTGATGATTTGTTTCCGTTCAGGAGTCAAAACCGTTCATGAATTCTTTCGATATACCGAACCGCTACGAGAGCGGGGGCCATCAGGGCGGCGGCGGAGGTGGACACGGTGGACGCGGCGGCGGTGGTGGCGGCCGTATGGGCGGCAACAAGGGCCATTGGGGTGGCAACGATAATCGAGACTATTCCAACAAACGTCGGCGATATTAAAAACAGAACACTAAAAGCAATATCGGGAAAGAATAGACGAAAATCTCTAAAATGTGCTTTAAAAAAAGCTTCAAATCGCGTTTTATTTTTCGTATCCCGAGAAAATTAAAAAAAATTTTTTTTTATTAATATTATATTGTGAAATTTTTTTTAAATAGCTAATTAAGTGCTTCTTGTAACATTTGGAAATGGAATTTTTAGTAAAATTAGGTACTAACATATTGAAAAGGTCTTCTATTAAAAAAAGTACACGTTTTTATATAGACGACAATTATTTTACTATAACGAATCACAATTTAATTAAATAGTGGAAATAGTAGTAAACCGGTAATTATGGAATTCTCCTATATTAATTATTCTTTGAAAATTAATTAGTATTAATTATTTTATATAAATATTCTGTAACCCATACGTTTTGTTTTATTCTACATTCACCTCTTAATTCAAACTACTTTATTGAAAAATTTAAAAAAAACAGTCTTCAAATATTTTTATCTCCGCGAAATGGCAACAAATTTGAAATGATTAAGAGTGTAGTTTCGCGGTCGAAAAAATTTATTTGCACTATACTTTCACAACTAATTATTACATCATCAATACTCTAAGATAGATTCCTCACATTCTGTTGTGGTTGTATTATTTTCGCCGTTTCTTTATATTTTCATATTGTTGAGCTTCTTGTTATATTTCAGACGCATCACCATCAAATAAGGCATGAACTAATTATTTTCGGAATTTACTTCATGACCAATAATAAAGTGAGAGATGGATTTATAACATAATTAATTGCTGTAAATAATAAAATCAACACCAATTAGATTGAATTTTACACATACATATTTAACTCTGCCCTGCTTCAAGAAATATACTATATTATAGATATAAGAAAAATCTCATCTTGTCTAATTGAGAGTTAGAAAACTTTTATGCAACTTCGTGACCGTGAAACTACAGCCTTAAGATTCTAAAAATCGTACTTTTCGTGATAAAATAATAACTGCTGTTTAGAATCTTTAAGATTTTCGGAAACACTGGTTATAATCCGTTCGGTTTCGGTTAATGCAAATCTTTTTCAGAGAAATTCGCGGAAATCTTCGGCGAAACTTTAGAAGACCGAAAAGAATTTTTAAAATGAACCAAAAAAATATTTTTAAGCGTTCACGTTAAAAATTTCTGTCTTTATAAGGTATGAAACGATTCATTAGATACATTAATATATCTATAGTGTAGTTATAATCTATTCATAAACCAAAATCAGTAAATATTAATTATTATTTTTATATGTCAAAAATTTTAATTTTTAACTTTACACTATAACTACACCATAGTATAGAAAAAATAAAAAAAAAACTTGTTATTTATCTTATATCTAAACATTTTTATATTCAAACACAAATCAAACCCCCATTTTTTTGAAATTGATAATTATTTTGTTGTATTTTTGTTCTCAGCGCTCCCCTCAAGCGAAGACCGTTACAGTAATTTTTAATATTACTGTTTTCTGGTTAGTATCAATTTTAATTTTTATTCGATGCGGTAAAAATTAATTTCCTTAATTTTTTTTTGCAGATCCAAACCTTGATGATACGAATAACAACGAATAAAAGTGATAAAAATGTGATATTTTTTATATTTAATTTTATTTAAATTTGTAATAAATTGTATGTATACAGAGAGATCGAAAAGTCGTTCGCATCAAAATAAATTTATGTTATCTATGCCATTGAAACAGAAATTTGTCATTTCACATCGGTAATATTACGGTTTTCACTGACTTGCAAACTTTCCTTTATATTTACGTGTTGCAGATGAATTTCGTGCGAAATATCCAGATGTTGCAGTACCTAATAACTCAATAATAACGAGATTAATCGCCCGTTTCAGTGAATGTGGATCAATTGCTAACAAGAAGAAAACCGGGAGAAACTTTATTTTAATTGAAATTAAAAAAATGTCTAAATTGCTATTGAAAGTGGTAATTCTAAATTTTTCTTCCGCATCTTTAAATCTCGTCTACAAATAATTCGTCAAAATGTTTTTTGACAATATTCGGCCTTTTAAATTCACAACTTTTCCGCTAAACCAGCTGAGTTCTCTTAATTTCATCAAATTTAGATCTGAAATTTAGTATTTCTTCATAGGCTGTTTTCAAAAAGTGTTGGCTTACACATTATAGTTTCTAAAATACTGTGTAAGCATTACTACATTTATATTTATAATAAAATCAAATTTTTTAATTTTGTATTGTAGTTCTGCAACTTCTGCTCTTTTTCTCTTGCTTTATTTTTTAAATTTATCTCCGTAATATTTGAATGTGGATTAATTGTTAACAAGAAGAAAACCGGGAGAACAGCCATTTTGACTTTACTTTAATTGAAATTAAGAATGTCTAAAATGCTATTAAAAGTGGTAATTCTAAATTTTTCTTCCGGATCTTTAAATCTCGTCTACAAATAATTCGTCAAAATGTTTTTTGACAATGTGCGGCCTTTTAAATTCACAACGTTTTGCGACACCCCACTTTTCCGCTAAACCAGCTGAGTTCTCTTAATTTTATCAAATTTAGATCTGAAATTTAGTATTTCTTCATAGGCTGTTTTCAAAAACATCTCGGCTTCAATCATATCGCAGTTTTCTGGTTGTAATATTTTAGAAACAACATTTATATTTATAATAAAATCAAATTTTTTAATTTTATTTTGTAGTTCTGCGGCTTCTGCTCTTTCTTCTCTTGCTTTACTTTTTAAATTTATCTCGGTAAGAGCTCGTAATATTTGAATGTGGATCAATTGCTAACAAGAAGAAAACCGGGAGAACAGCCGTTTTGACCGTCGGAAAACTTTACTTTAATTGAAATTAAGAATGTCTAAAATGCTATTAAAAGTAGTAATTCTAAATTTTTCTTCCGGATCTTTAAATCTCGTCTACAAATAATTCATCAAAATGTTTTTTGACAATATGCGGCATTTTAAATTCACAACGTTTTGCGACACCCCACTTTTCCGCTAAACCAGCTGAGTTCTCTTAATTTTATCAAATTTAGATCTGAAATTTAGTATTTCTTCATAGGCTGTTTTAAAAACATCTCGGCTTCAATCATATCGCAGTTTTCTGGTTGTAATATTTTAGAAACAACATTTATATTTATAATAAAATCAAATTTTTTAATTTTGTTTTGTAGTTCTGCGGCTTCTGCTCTTTCTTCTCTTGCTTTACTTTTTCAATTTATCTCGGTAAAAGCTCGTAATATTTGAATGTGGATCAATTGCTAATAAGAAGAAAACCGGGAGAACAGCCGTTTTGACCGGCGGAAAACTTTACTTTAATTGAAATTAAGAATGTCTAAAATGCTATTAAAAGTGGTAATTCTAAATTTTTCTTCCGCATCTTTAAATCTCGTCTACAAATAATTCGTCAAAATGTTTTTTGACAATATGCGGCCTTTTAAATTCAAAACATTCTGCGACACCCCACTTTTCCGCTAAACCAGCTGAGTTCTTTTAATTTTATCAAATTTAGATCTGAAATTTAGTATTTCTTCATAGGCTGTTTTAAAAACATCTCGGCTTCAATCATATCGCAGTTTTCTGGTTGTAATATTTTAGAAACAACATTTATATTTATAATAAAATCAAATTTTTTAATTTTGTTTTGTAGTTCTGCGGCTTCTGCTCTTTCTTCTCTTGCTTTACTTTTTCAATTTATCTCGGTAAGAGCTCGTAATATTTGAATGTGGATCAATTGCTAATAAGAAGAAAACCGGGAGAACAGCCGTTTTGACCGGCGGAAAACTTTACTTTAATTGAAATTAAGAATGTCTAAAATGCTATTAAAAGTAGTAATTCTAAATTTTTCTTCCGGATCTTTAAATCTCGTCTACAAATAATTCATCAAAATGTTTTTTGACAATATGCGGCATTTTAAATTCACAACGTTTTGCGACACCCCACTTTTCCGCTAAACCAGCTGAGTTCTCTTAATTTTATCAAATTTAGATCTGAAATTTAGTATTTCTTCATAGGCTGTTTTAAAAACATCTCGGCTTCAATCATATCGCAGTTTTCTGGTTGTAATATTTTAGAAACAACATTTATATTTATAATAAAATCAAATTTTTTAATTTTATTTTGTAGTTCTGCGGCTTCTGCTCTTTCTTCTCTTGCTTTACTTTTTAAATTTATCTCGGTAAGAGCTCGTAATATTTGAATGTGGATCAATTGCTAACAAGAAGAAAACCGGGAGAACAGCCATTTTGACCGGCGGAAAACTTTACTTTAATTGAAATTAAGAATGTCTAAAATGCTATTAAAAGTGGTAATTCTAAATTTTTTTTTCAGATCTTTAAATCTCGTCTACAAATAATTCGCCTTTTAAATTCACAACTTTTCCGCTAAACCAGCTGAGTTCTCTTAATTTCATCAAATTTAGATCTGAAATTTAGTATCTCTTCATAGGCTGTTTTCAAAAACATCTTGGCTTCAATCATATCGCAGTTTTCTGCGATCAAATTAAATACATTTTTGATATCAGATATTTTACAATTTCCATATTTTGATAAAATTACCATGGTGTTGTGCGCCTTGGGACATTTACGAAACTAATATTTGCAGATATTTATTTTGATGTGTGCGAATTTTAATCTCTCTGTATTTTAGAATACAATAAACTTTTGCGAATTATTTCGGTTTCCCAAATAACTTTGGAAACCGCCCAAAACCATAAAAGATTTTAAAATAGATGTTTTAAAAAAGGTATGAATAAAAGGTGATTTATGCAAAACGTGATTTTTTTATTGTTATTATTATATGTAGTCCTGTAAAGTAGGAATAAAAGAAATTATATTAAAAATAAAAGTATTTGCAGTTACATTGAGCGTTTTTTTTATCAAAAATAAGTTTTTGGTATAAATATATTGTAGTCTATTATTTATAATAAATTAGATTAAAAAAAATAAATGGGAAAACGAATTTTTGCTAACATTAAAAGGACTAGTTATGTTCAATTTTCTTATACACCTCAAAAATCAATTAATTTATTCACTGGTACATTATCAAAACTCCTGCCATTACTAAAACTTTTCTCTTCAATTTCATCCTTAGTTTCAGTATAAAACATGGATCGATTTTTTCTTCTTTTTGGTGGACTTGGCGGTTGCTTACTCCTCATATATTCCAGCACTGGATCTTTACCCGTTTTCATACTCAACTTAGTTTTTAAAATGATTAATTGCGACCTCCAATGTTCATATGGAGATGATTTCAATGCAGAAACCCATTTATTTACATCCTCCTCACAACGACATGCAAATACATGTTTCCCATCACTAAATGTGATTGAAAACGCATAAAAAATACCTTTTCTAGGCTGCTCGTATGCGACTTGAACATTTTCCAAAACAAACACCCCTTGAGGTTCAGTTTCGTTCACTCGATAATAAAAAAGCATATTAAATACCAATTTAAAGGTGCGTTCTTTAAACGAGGGTTGTTGATACCAATCCGACCAGTCATTTCCCTGTGGTTTCATGTAAAACAAAACGCCTTCTATGCTTGGTGTTGTTAATTCGTTGCACACTTTTGTTATTTCCCGCCCGTTAAATCTCATTTTAATCAGTTTATGCTTTACTTTACGATTTTTCGTTATTATCTCACCATCTTTTCTTCATTTTTTTGGCTAAAATGATAAAAGAAAGCGTGTATTTTAGTTCAAATTGTATTGACAACTGATTCCCGAGATTAGATCTAGATAGAAAGTAGAAAGAGTTAGATTCACGGGATGGAAGATGAAAAGGATTCATTTTACACTTTTCATAATCCATGGTTTAGTTTTAATACTCCTACATAGATGGCAGTTGCTTTCTATTTATCATAAAAATACATAAAATAATACACAAGTTGCAACTCAACTCTAATTAATAAGTGTATAGGTGACCAAATAAGTACTGTATTTGAGAAACTACTCATTGTAGAGATTTGCGGTGAAAAATTTAATAACATAAATAAAAATCCAAACTTGTTCCGAATTCTTCTCTCACATTTATAACAAAATGTGCTGGACAACCCTCGAGTCGTAATCTTCTAACAAAATCGGTAATTGATTATCAAAATCCATAAAATTTTCTAATAAAAACTTCTTTCACCGATATTTTAGGTTAGGAACATGATATCGAGGAGCTGCTTTAACTAGCTTATTTTTTTCATGAAAAAAAGTAATATCAATAGTATAATATATATATTTAATAATAATATATATTTAATAATAATATATATTTAATATATATATACAACTTCATTGTAATATCGAAAAATGCCCTCAAATTTACAAATAAGGTAGGATTTGTAGTCTAAGAAAAGCTCTTTTCAACGATACCAAGCTTATTAAATTCCAACCCAACCCAACCAAAAAGGGCAAAAAGTGTTTTAACAAAAAAAAACTATAATTTATCTAAATTTTAAAATGCACATACTTTTTTTTTATGTTGATACACATTTTTAATTCAAGATGGCGGTTGCCCACCCTAGCGGTTATCTTAGAAACATAAAAATAATTTTCAAAATTTTCTTTTAGCCATTTTAGTACTAAAATCTTTTTATTAAGTCTCTACAAGGAGTAGTTTCCTAGATACGGTACTTTACACGCTTATTTGGCCATCCTGTACATCGAAGAAGTTACCTAATTTGTTATATTTGTTAATATTTATCAATTTTTTGAGAGTTTTGAAGCATTAAGCACACACTGATATTCCTCCACCACTCATTTATTTCTGAAAGAGGACACTTTTATTAACACTTTGGGAAGTTTGGGAGATTTTATACGAATTTTAAAAACTTAATCGGCGAAAATAGCAAAATCAATTATTTCAAAAATTTATTTCTCAAGAATTAAAAGTGATTTTTCAAAACGGCTTGTTACATTAAAAAGAGGATACTTTAATTAATAATTCGTGGTATTTCCACAAGGTTTCTTCAAGAAATTAATTTTATAGCGAATTTTGAAAATTATCGCAAAATCGAAAATTTTAAATATTGTTTTTTCAAAAACTAAAAGTTATTTTTCAAAACGGGTTGGTTCATTGGAAAGAGGACACTTTTGTTAACACTTTGGGAAATTTTCATACTCATATTCCAAGAAGTGGATTTTATACGAATTTTGAAAACTTAATCGCCGAAAATAGCAAAATCAATTATTTTAAAAATTTATTTCTCAAGAATTAAAAGTGATTTTTCAAAACGGCTTGTTACATTAAAAAGAGGATACTTTAATTAATAATTGGTGATATTTCCACAAGGATCCTTCAAGAAATTAATTTTATAGCGAATTTTGAAAATTATCGATGAAAATTGCAACATCGAAAATTTTATCAAAACTTCAAATATTGTTTTCTCAAAAACTAAAATCGATTTTTCAAAACGGGTTGGTTCATTGGAAAGAGGACACTTTTATTAACACTTTGGGAAATTTTCATACTCATATTCCAAGAAGTGGATTTTATACGAATTTTTAAAACTTAATCGGCGAAAATAGCAAAATCGATTATTTTAAAAATTTATTTCTCAAGAATTAAAAGTGATTTTTCAAAACGGCTTTTTGCATTAAAAAGAGGATACTTTAATTAATAATTGGTGATATTTCAACAAGGATCCTTCAAGAAATTAATTTTATAGCAACATCGAAAATTTTATCAAAACTTCAAATATTGTTTTCTCAAAAACTAAAAGTGATTTTTCAAAACGACTTTTTGCATTAAAAAGAGGATACTAATATAATAATTTAAAATAATATTTAAATAAAATCCGTGTTAACCATTAAAATTCGAAGAGAAATATAATAATTTATTTTCCTGTTCAATAAGTTAGAAAACTCTGGTAGAGCGAACAATTTATAATTGGATGTAATGAAGCGCTTCCATCGAGCTAGGGGTGATTTTTTCCAGGCGACGATTGATTTTTGATGTTTCGAGCCGCAACTGCGGGTCACTACATCTTATAATTTAAATATTTATTAAGTTTATAATTTCCGGGTACAAGATTGCCCCAGCACAAACCAATCATCCTACAATTTCCCCATTAACCCCATCGGGTAGTTAACTAAATTGAAACTTTATCATCAGTCGACATTGTGCAAACTCAATTTTGGATCGCGTCATATACCAATGAATGAACACGGAGTTAGTTAACGATAATAAATTCATTTACATAATTGTGTTTGTTTTTTTTGATAATAATTATCGGACTTTCTCGATCCCCTCTGACGGCGAAGTTGTTTTGGAAACAAGGACACAGCCTCGACTTGACGCCCGACGTCGTTATGGCAACCGGCGAGATGCCTGGGTCGGCCTAAGTCATTAGAATATGATACCGTTGATGGGTCGTCGTGATGATTCCCCCTTAGAAAACGTTACGTAAATCCTGAAAACACCTCTATTGAGACAAATAACTTATTGTAACACAACCTGTTTCTATAAGATTAGGTTTATGTGTTGGATAATCCTTTTCATTCTGCGATAGTCACGTCGTTTTCATATAAAATTCAAACTTAATAAAAAAATATATATATATTAATATATACCGGATGGTCCATTTAACGTGAAACAAGCGACAAGGTCAATTTCAATCTTTCAAGGTCATATGAAGGTCACGACCGATTTTTTAAATGGTACCCCATGTTTTTGATTGCAAAATTTGAATCTATGGATAAAAGTAAAATAATTATAAAAAAAAACATCTTTTGTAGACAAAATTTAAATAATTTTTTTATTCAAATAATTTTAAATATTGTTTATTTATAAAAAAAATGATTAAACTATACTATTAATCAACAACAAGATGGTGGCGCAGTTTCATTTTTTAGAAGTTGGTCCTATTAAAGTACGTGAGCTGCTCTGTTCATTGAAGAGAAATTTTTTTCCATCCCAACTTATTTTATATAATTAAATTTAGTATTTGCTGATTCTCAGTTCCCTGATATATTGAAAATAGCTAACGGGATGCCCGTGCTTAAAAAAGGAGATACGGATTGCTTCAATTATAAGCCAATAAGTGTACTGCTGGTTTTTTCCAAAGTGTTTGAGCGTGGTTGTGTGTGCAATGTATGTTTTTGGATCTGACGCGGGCATTTTACTGCGTGTCACATCGGAAACTATCTAAAGTGTATAATTTTGTTAGTGACGCTGTTGCTCTTGTCGAGTCCTACCTGAGGAATAGAACACAGCAAGTAAGAGGGATTCAGGAGGCAAGGTTTATATATAAAAGGTTGTCTAGGTTTGTACGCAACCATACTGCGCAATCCGTGATCGCTTACGTCACGAAACACTCCTGCTCTTGCCCCTCGCCCACAAACTAAAATCAAAGTATTGCAGCATAGGAACTTAGACAACCTTTAATATATAAACCTTGTCCAGGAGGTTGAGGGATCCATACTTGGCCCGCTGCTATTCCTGCTTTACATTAAAGACTTTCCTCAGTATGGTTACAAAATGTAGTTCCTATCTTGTTATTTTCAAAGTGGAGTTTTTCTCATTATTAAGGCTTTTGATGTTATTCCAATTAGTTTTGACTGTTGTGAAGTTAATAGTATGGAGGAAGGAAGTGTCCTTGTTGAACAGGGGAACGCAGGGACAAGAAAAAAAGGCAAGAGAAGAACATTGGGAAAAAAGAAAAATCAAAGATAATTAGGTAAAACCATTTTTTAGGTTATGTGTAATATTATTAAACAACAACATTGTACTTTAGGTATGCCATTTTTGCCTCATTTTCCAAACTTTGAAGACTTTGCTAGGCCGTGTAACCACAGCAAAAAATAACTACCTAATACCCAGCAAAATAGTCCAAGATACCAAACTTTCAAGATTGCTACGTATAGTGTCTCCTAAAGGAAGAAAGAAATTTAAAAATGTACAAAGTGTCCGTATACGGTACAAGTTTTTTGATTCCGATAATAAGAAGCATAATGTGTGCCAAAAATTCTTTTGAGAAGCATTGTTCGCTTGTCAAAACAAATACATACAGGGAGTGATATAGTAGAAAGGCGAGGAAGGGAAATTATTTGAGCGAAAAAAAAAAGCTGTAAACAAATTTAATATATAACGGCAATCTCTGACCATAAAACTTGGCAACAAATCATCTCCAGCAGTATGCTTATTAGAAAACATTGCCATTAATTTAATTAGCTCCTCTTCTGTAGTGGGATGAAAAGAGTATGGCAACGGATTGAAATTAGATTCAGTGAAAGTTCGGTCAGTAGATACAGTGTGAACAGCAGAAAACATGTTAGCAAAAGCATTTATAATATCTTGAGGATCAGTAAGAACATTGCTCTCACTATCAATCAGATTACAGGGTATTCTTGTGGTACGTTTCTTAGCTCGGAGAAAATTCCATATACTGGACGGATCCGTCTTGATGGTATTTTATATGTTATATGTTATTCATTTTTTAACAACCTCCTTAGTTGCTTAAATTCATTATAAAATACAATTTCTTTTGTTTTGATCCATTTTTGTGATAGAATTTTTTGATATTAATATGTCTCTTTATTTACGGCGAAAACCACGGTGGGTAAGAACTATTAGATTTGGTAAATAATAAAATAATAAATAAATATAATATAATAATATACAGGGTGATTCATTAGCTCTATGACAAACTTTGGCAGATGAAAGGTGATGCGATTCTAAGGAAAAAATGTTATATGAATATGGGTCCGATTCATTTTGGTTAAAGAGTTACAAGCCTTTGAAAATTTTACACAGTTTAATAGGCAAATGAAAATGTAACATAAAAAATAAGTTTAAAAATTACAAAAATTGTTCGAAATGTCCGCCTTCAGCTTGAATGCACGCTTCACATCGACGAAGTAAAGATTTGCAACAATCGCAACAATAATTATGAAACACAAATACAGAGTTGGCTGTGATAACAAAACTGAGTTCTTTATGTCAAACATTTCAATTTACTCTATTCTGTGTGTTTCAAAGTTTATAATTGTCAGAGTTTTGATCGAAAACGAAAATGCATGTATTTACGACTGAAGAATATGCAGATATTATTTTTGTATACGGGCTTTGTAACGGAAACGCTCGGCAAGCAGCAAGAGAATACCTTCGTAGGTTTCCAAATAGACATCAACCTGCCCATACAGTGTTTAGTGCATCATTTCGCAGACTGAGAGAAACAGGTAACCCCGCTCCACTACATTCCGTTCGTCCCCATGATGTGAATGTACAAAATGAAGAACGTGTTATTGATTTAGTACTTGACGACCCTTCAATTAGTACTCGGCGTATAGCGAGCATGTTACAAATATCCCAAAGTTTTGTATGGCGTGTATTGAATCGAGAAATGTTACATCCGTTTCATCGCCAAAATGTTCAAGCATTACATCCTGGAGATACTGAGCAACGCTTAGCATTTTGCCACTGGATTATTCAGCAACATGCTCAAAATAATAACTTCATTTCCCAAGTTCTGTGGTCTGATGAAGCGTGTTTCACTAGGGACGGCATAAATAATTATCATAACGAACATGTGTGGTCCTTGCAAAATCCACATGCAATTAGACCAGGAAGATTTCAGCAACGGTTTAGTGTAAACGTTTGGGGTGGCATTTTTAACAATTCTTTGCTACCTGTATGGGTGATAAATGAACGCTTAAATGCAAATATGTACAGAAATTTCTTGGGACATAACCTTTTCGATTTTATCGACGACGTACCACTTAACATCGTTCAAAATATGTGGTATCAGCACGATGGTGCACCACCACATCGAGGAAGAGAAGTCATCGCTTGGTTACATGAACATTTTCCAAACAAATGGATTGGCAATGGAGGTCCAGTAGTCTGGCCACCACGATCCCCAGATCTAAATCCGCTGGATTATTATTTCTGGGGACACATGAAGCAGCTTGTGTACCATGTAGAAATTACTACCCGTCAGCAACTACTGGACAGAATTCAAGATGCAGCTAATAGCATACGGAATGATCCAAATATCATACGTCGTGTGATAGAATCTTTACTTCGTCGATGTGAGGCGTGCATTCAAGCTGAAGGCGGACATTTCGAACAATTTTTGTAATTTTTAAACTTATTTTTTATGTTACATTTTCATTTGCCTATTAAACTGTGTAAAATTTTCAAAGGCTTGTAACTCTTTAACCAAAATGAATCGGACCCATATTCATATAACATTTTTTCCTTAGAATCGCATCACCTTTCATCTGCCAAAGTTTGTCATAGAGCTAATGAATCACCCTGTATAATATAAATAATAAATAATAAAAAAAAACATAAAATAACAAGATAAATAATAAAAAATACTAAAGGAAATGTTCAAAAACTTAGATTTCCTTTTTTTAGTGCTATTATTGAAATCGGAACCCAACATTTTTGTGATAGAAAAAATTTCGAATTTTGTTGTACTTTTACTGGTTTATTTATATTTTTGTTGTCTAACTAGTTTCGGCAAAAAGCCATCATCAGAGACAAAAGTCAATGAATTTTACAGGAAATTAACATCGAAAACATAAAGCGGTGAACAAATTAAAATTATTATTGTCACAAAATTTACTTAAAATAAACGTAAAAATTTTTAAAATCTTTTTGTGGCAAATGTTACAAGATGGTCTAGATCTTGTAACATTTGCCACAAAAGACCAGTAAAAGTACAACAAAATTCGAAATTTTTTCTATCACGTTAAACAAACTGGTGTAATGGATATTAACTTCAATTTCACCCTAACCAACATTTTTGCATTTAACACGAAAACGGTGATTTTGATCAATAATATCTAAGAGTAATAAAACTTTCTAAACTAAATTTATTATTAAAAACTGCAAAAATAAATGTAGGGTTATGATAGAATAAAAAAGTTCTGAGCAAACAAACTTTAGGAACAGCCTGTATAGCATTGTTCCCGCGGACCGATCCAACTCATAAATTGCCTAACGATTTTACATCACATTGATTTATACAGTACCAAATTTCAGCGCTTTACTGTAAATAGTGTTTAAGATATTTGGAAAAATGTGTTAAAATTTC